AACCCGAGCTAGGTGCCGCAGTAGCCCCTTGCATGTGGTGGATCTCTTCGAGACACTTCTGAAACACCAAAAATAACGGTGCAAACAGGTATTGCTGGACCCCCCGCAATAATACTCATGACAAACACTTTCGGGACTGCTTTAGACAAGACAAGGAAACCAATGTGAACAAATCCATAAACCTTGTCCCTGAGACCACCCCAAAACAAATCCTAAACTCCGTAGAAGAAAGAACACGCAGAAACCGTCGTTGTCACCTTTCACAAACTGCAAAGCAAAGCACTTGAGAGACCCTGGAAAGAGCCGTCCACAACCCGGTACCCAAAACCTAAAAACTAAAGACCCTAAACCCTAAACCCCATGTCGCAGAAACGGCCAAAGGTCAGCTGATCCAAGAGAGCAGCTTCCACCACCCCAAGGGTCGCACACCTCAAGAAGGAACCTACATAACCCTCCAAAGGAATCCTTACAGGGAACCCTATTTTAGAGTAGACGGGTAGTTTTCTAACTAGGGTCCCTTTTTAGGTCCCCAAAATAGTAGGGCACCCTTACAAAAAGGACCCTCAAAGGGAACGTAACTTAGAGAGCTAGCCATATAGTACCCTCAAGCACTTGGGGTTTCGGGTTTAGGGTCCGCAGGTTTTAGGCTTTAGGGTGTCGGATTTGAGGGTTTGTTTAAGCTCCTCAGTCAGGGATGCACCTCAAACTATCAAGGGATCTACGGCATGACTGAGGGTTACTTTACCTTCTTTAGGGGCTTCCCATACGCCCCTAAGTAGTTCTTTTTTGCGGCTTATACTTAGAATCCTATGAGGTAATCCCAAAAAAAGAGCTACTTCGGGGCCTATGGGGTTTTTGGGGTGTCTGAATACCCGAAAATCTTTAACTTGAAACCATCAGTCTCTTGGTGACTAAGGATTCGGGATGAAGCAGGCATCAATGAAGCTTCATTGGTAGAAGCGTCAAAGGCAAGAGTCTGAGAACCCAAAACCCAACCCTAAATCCCTAAACTGCTATGCCCAGATTCTCCAGATCCGAAACGTATGCCATGGTCTACAGCATTTGGTGCTGGACATCGCGCACTGTCCAAACCTCTGTAGAATCACATAAAGCTCTATGACAACACCGTAAGTTCTACAAGCTCTAGAAATCCTATCCCCTGCCTTCTGGCCACTGCAGCTCGTGAGGGTTTGGTGAACTTAGGACGTGGAATAGGCTTTAATTAAGGCTTGGGGTTTGCGTGTGTTGGAGAGTGGGGCGTGTTTAGGAAACCAGAGAAAGACGTTGTTGCTAGTTGTTATTCACGGCCCGCTTTATAGACGATAGACCCATGCCGACGCCGCTAGATAAAGCCTCAACGTTCAGCCCAGGACCCTGGATCCTGCCTCCTCCCCTGAAGCCCCGGAAAGCACTACATTCTTACCCATAGGCCCCTAAGTAGCTCCTTTTTGGGATTCCCTTATAGGATTCTAAATATAAACCACAGAAAGGAGCCTGAGTAGTACCCTTCAAGAAACCCCAAAACCCCCAGATCCGAAAAAACATCTCCCAGCGCATCCGCCACGCAGAAGACAAGGCGCGCTCGCGGCTTGTCTAAGCCGGCTTTTGTTTTCACCTCCAAGAGGGGTTACGGTTGATGATGTGAATCCTGGAGGAATATACCAGAATTCCCATAGTTTATAGGGTCCTTCAGGTCATGCAGGATTTAGATCATCAACAGTATTTCAAGCTTGGGCTAGATTGTAAGGCTGAGCACGAGTGCATCCTGCGGCAAGCAGTCTTGGTTTCATCTTTCGCTGCGTCTGTTCGCTGCTCCCTCGCTGCATGCAATGTTACTTTGTTCTACATTTATCGGACTGTCCGACTGCTCGGGGAGTTGTCGATTCCTTTTTCGAGCACAGAAGCACTTTCTGACTCGGCCGTCAAGCCACGAATTCTCATCTGAAGTCTCGATGCGGCTATCTGCCCTAAGCCTAACATGGCAGGGGCAGGGATTCGTCCTTAAACCCCGAAATAGATTTTAACATGAACGAATCCGGCCACATCAGGGCTACGTTGGCGGTCACTTTCGCCACAGAGGAATTCTCGGCAACTCGTCTCGCCATCTCCTGGATGCAGCTCGGTGCTTTGGAAAATCAGGGCCACAGCGAATTCTTCGGGATTTTTGTTGGTTAAAATTTTGGCCCAGGGTCTAAGACTTTCTTCAGGGATATAAGAATCGTAGGGTATGCTGGGAACCCTAGGGCATACTACTGGTAATTATCTCGCGGCGTCTATATTGCGACGTCATGGGAGCCTAGACAGTGTTCCTGGAATGGTTCACGGTTCGCGGCTAGGTAGGGCTTGGGCTAAAGCTTGGAGGCTTCGCTGGCACAATGAACCCGACAACCCAAACAGGGTGTAGTGTTCGGGGTGGTTTGGCCAACCATAGCCAACTGGATAGTAGTAGTAGTAGTAGTAGTAGTAGTGGTAGTAGTAGTAGTAGTAGTTGCAGCAATAGCAGTAGCAGTAGTAGTAACTTCGAAGTGAGGGCAGCAGCCGTTCCTTGACAAAGAGAGTTTGACCTGCATCCCAGCGCCGACACCACGCTGATAGACCAGGCCAGTTGACCTAGGCTTGCAAGCATCGCACGTTAATTATCGCGTGTGTTGCTTCTCTCGCCACTGGCATTTAAGCACAGGGTGTGCTCACATCTTCACCGTCGTCTTCGATCATGGTAATCGTCATCATAACCACAACCACCAGCACAAATCATGAGCATCACCACATCATGCACTGTCGTAACCTGTCTTAACCCTGGCCTCGAGGCATCAGCTAAACAGAATTCACGTAACTCCGTAGACAGTGCATTAAACAGTGAATAACCCAAAGTGTACAGAGCACGGCGTTTGTAATACCCGTAACCATCAAATTCGCTGGTAGATATGACTGATTCAACAAGAAGAAGTCGGCACCGGCCTCAGCCAGATTCGTGGTGACTGGGCTCAGAAAACACTTGATACATTTAACTAGCTCGGTGCCCGTGGGCTGACATAATCGCCAACCCGAAAGCCCAAACCCCAGGTAATATAGGGGCCTTAATCCTTAAGCATAGGGTTCATGAGAATAGGGTTCTGGGGCCCATTATACTATAATTAAAATAAGGAACCCCCCCAAATAGTTTAGGTACTTATTATACGGCCCCTATAGTACATGGACCCTTGCGGAAGAGATTGGGAGCGAAGCGTAGCCTTTTGTCTTTGGTGGAACGGGAATGTTTTGTTCATGGGACTCTGCGAGCTGGAAAATCGAGCAGCGTTCTAGCTTCTTTTTTGGCTTTTGCTGACCTTGCCTCTTCCCCTAAGGCTCAAAATAGCCCCAAAAGCCTTGTAGAGTATGGTCTTTAGGCCCAGAAGCCTTAAAATATGTATCCTCAGAGCCTTAGGGTTCTAGTATCCCAGATCCCACTTCAACTCAGAATGACGATGGACTAACACAGGAAACCACAATGAAGAGAATCTAGGTAGTGTCTTTTCACCGCACACCGCAAACGGAAACTCTTCGTTGCAATCGTCACTCCCGGGTTGCGGGCATGTTCCACAGATTTCCAGGGTGTTTCAAGTGAGGGAGCGGTCCGTGGCAGGCTGGGTGCGCGAAGATGAGACAGAGATGCTTCCTGTCTCCGTCTTTCCCGGTTTCCGAATATAGGGGACCCCAATATAGTACCCTAAAAAAGTAGGATCCATATTACAAGGGACCGCAAAATAGGGTACCCCTCATTTTCGGAAACTCCCAATCTGTCTTCAGAACTTAGGGAGCACATCCAGACAGAGGCAGATAGTACGACTTCGCCGCCTGCCTTCTTCATTTCAGAGCTTCCTGCGCTTTTGTTCCGATGTAAGTGTGGCCCTCGATCCTCTCCAGGACCCCACTGAAAGCACAGAAGGCCTTCGAAGAGAGGATCAAAATCCACCCAAACCCTAAAAATAGTCCTCCAGGTTCCGAGGCATGGAACCCGCATTTTCCGGGCTGCTGGTGGAGAAATAAACGTAGGCAGCCACCACGACCGACAACAGTCCGAAGGGGTGGTCCGGAACTGAGGGCTCAACTGTCTCCAGGCGCAGTCGCTCCATATTGTTTTTCCCTGCGTCCGGTGCTGGTCGTGGCGGCGATGGGTCTGGCTCGTCCTTCTGGGTCTTGGGAGCTGCAAACAGTTCACCGTGCAAAGCAAAGGTCACGCATATGAGCAGCACGGCAACACGCAAAATCCGAGACTGCTTGATCATCGGAGCAACGGAAAGGGACAGTGTGGCAAGCCTGCTTCAGCAGAAATGTCAGACGCGACCGCAAAAGCACATGTTGCCTTGTCTTGACAGGTAAGAAATCCTGGTATACGCTATATATTTGCTAGATCGCGGATCCCACTGTTATTATTCCGGGTTCCATCCCGCAGACAAGTATGACAGGGATGTGACTATTATGTCCCCCTTGGAGTCCCCAGATGATAAGACCACAAACGACCCCGAAACCATCTTCTATACTCGTTCAGGCTCATGTCGTAGCTGGCATGGTGAAGGAAGAACACTCGCCCCAACACAGTTACATGGGCTTAGAGTAGCAAGGTGGTGTCCATTTTGGGGTTTCTGGGCTGAAGAAGCATAAGTACTCAACAAAAACGATGCGGTTACCTGATGAGGTTTTAGGTCCCCAGCTAGCTGCCCGCTGCCGACGACAAAATGGATCCAAGGCAGCAGTACGGGTCGGAGGGGAAGCGGCGGGAGATGGGGGTGGGTGTCGCGGTACTTGCAGGCGCATTGGATGTTGCGCAATGTGGGCCAAAAAACCCGTAGGTGAGGCTTTGAGGTACTGGCACAAGTTCTTGCAGCTAGCCCTAGACGTCGTAGTCTGTACTTGTCATCACCTTTCAGGGTTGAAGAGGATGCTGCTCAGACTCATAAAATACCGTCAGTACCCGTGCGGTGGGGTCCTTGCAAGGCTTATGCGGATCACGCTGAGCACCGTCAGTGCGATTTTCTGAAGCTCGCGTGCTGAGAGTGATTCCCCTTGTTGGAGATGATCTCAGTTGCACTAATCATCAAATGCCAGAGAACCTCGGGCGTTTCTCCGAGTTCTCTCTGGTTGTGCCTGAGGTAGACATGTCCAGACAAGTGTGCAACGTTTCGGTAGTAAGCACTTCTTTCGTGCTCCTGGTCCATAATCTCAACGACAACGCTGCCAGGATACATCCAAATGGAGTGCATCATGCCGGCTCCATGCATTCCGACGAGGATGTCGCAGCCGCTCACCATCTTAGCTTGCTGTTGAATAGGCACAGACGCATTGAAGCCTAGAGAACGGAAGACCAAAGTGTGGCCATCCAGCGTCATTCTCTCGGCAGCCTCCTTCAATGCATGGAAACTCTTGTCACTCAGCTGTCGGGTGGATTTCCCCGGCCGGCCTACATAGCCTTCGCGTCCCAGTTCGTAACCGAAAAAATCCAGTTTCGGCTTCATGGTTTCAAAGTTTTTGATCTCCAAACCCCCCCCAAAAAAACTGAAAGCCTGCCACGTCAGCTACTAAGCGGCAGACTCGTCTGCCTCCGAAATCCGTCTCTGGATCCAGGCCGACACCAGTATAGAGGGCCTCAGTAACCCCAGTATCACCCCCTCTAAACGAGAGTTACCTGTTGCCACGATATTCAATCTTTAGAGGGAGCCCAGGAATTTAAGAAATAGGGCATAACAAAAGGGGGGTCTGACAAATCGATTCTGCGATAGGAGCCCCTGTTTCCCTGATCGGCCCTATATATAGAGTTAGAGTAAAAAAAACACGCTCCGAAACCCTCGGACGACCCCTCCCCGCCCCGCTACACAGAAAACACCCCCTTCCTTCTAAAACGTCTTCCAGCCACCCTGAAGGATTCCTTCAAAGTGTCCTTTCCGTGCTCCGTAAACCCTAAACCCTAAGCTAGGCGTTGGAACTGGGCAGGGGCAAAACAGGTATAAACTTCTATTTCGTTTTGGTCCCTTTAATGAACAAGTCTCCACAAAGAAAAAGTATGAAAGTATGGCGCTTCAGGACCCAGTGAAGGAACCTTGGGAACCCAGGGGGTAGGGTTTAGGGTTGATATACCCTACACCCTAAACCCGAAAGGCCCTAAACCCTAAACCCTCAAGGCCCTAAACCCTAAACCCTAAAGGCCCTAAACCCTAAACCCTAAAGGCCCTAAAGGCCCGAAACCCTAAACCCTAAAGGCCCTAAACCCTAAATGCTGAGCCCTAAGCCCTAAACCCTAAACCCTACCCATAGGCCCCTAAGTAGTTCCTTTTTGGGATTACCATTTAGGATTCTAAAAATATAAACCCCTAAATGCCTTAAAAGAGCCCAGGAGCAGACTGGAAGGAGCGCCAGAGGCCGGAGGCGTGCGCGCACTTCAGCGGCAAATCCCAGGCCAAGTCCCACAGGAAACCATCCGAGGGAGCAAGGATGTGATGCCTTATAGGGTTATAGGGTTTAGGGTTTAGGGTTTGAGGTTGGAGTTTAGGGTCTAGGGATTAGGGGTTTAGGGTCTAGAGGGGTTTAGGGTTTATGGTTAGGGTTTAGGGTTCAGGGTTTAAGTTTAGGGCTTAGGGTTTATAGGGTCTCTTCAGGATCCCCTTGATGGAGTTTTTGATGGGGAGACCCCCAAAAAATATATCATATGGTGAAAGGAAAACTAGGGGATCTGTGGAAAAGGACACTACTACTAAGAAGTCCTAGATGCTCGTAGCCGCAGTCCTTTGAAGCCACCGGGCCAAGGAGATGCCAGGGAAAAGGACCGGGGTCAGTATCCACAGTGATGTTCTTGAGACGTGGTACGTGGTAGGAAATACCTGGACTTTGAAGTAACCAGGGATAAAGATAAGTATAGACTTTTATTTCATATTGGTTCCTTTAAGGAACAGGTCCAATAAAAAAGTATTCAAGTATGGTACTCCAGAACCCAGATACTGATCTCCCCTGGGAGCTTCTCCTTCAGCTGCAGAACTCTGGGTACCACCCAGGCCTCAAACACTGCAGCCATGCGATGCCACAGGTTCGGGCTAAACCGATCCGGGCTCTGCACCACGACAACCTCGGTTTAGGGTTTAGGGTTCTTGCAAAGGAACTTGGAGGGTCATCAAGGATTAAGAGTACAGGGTGTAGGGCTTGCTTCAGTGGAACCAATGACAGCATCGGGTTTTGCAATGCAAATACCTCAGAGGCCCTAGATCACCGCAATCAGGAATCTTGTCGCGGCAATCAACTATGATCATACAAACCCTCTTACCATGTAGCACTTCTCTGGTATCTCGTACTGAGATCCGAACGAAGCCCTTTCGAAACCCAGCTACAACAACAATTCGGGCCCAGCCACTGCAGACTTCGGTGCAAAGTTCCCGCTGCTGCAAGGAAACCCGAGAGACGACTCTGCGGTGACCGTGCCTCTTTAGGGTTTAAGGGTTTAGGGTTTAGGGGTTTAGGAGTTTAGGGGTTTAGGGTTTAGGGGTTTAGGAGTTTCGGGGTTTAGGGGTTTAGGGTTTCCGGGTTTGTGGGTGCCTCCCGCCGCTGGCGCCCCCGATCGCTGAATGCTCCACTTCATACGCCCTGTCCCGGAGCTCTTCTCGTGTCAAAAGCTGGAAATGCCGGACCACGTCCAGTGCGGATCGCCTGGGTTCCACCGTAAGTACATCCTTTTTTGATTCTTCAATCTTAAGAATGCAGCGTCCAACACGAGTAATACTCTTAGTCTTAGAACCCTATAGAAACCCTACCGAAGCGCTTTTGCTAGAACCGTTAAAAACCCTTACCCCTAAACCCTGCCTGGGTATCTAAAAACCTACCGTTTTAAGGGTTATAGACCCTAGAACTAAGGGGTCATGACCTACTATTTAGTAGGGTTTGGGGATACAGGTAAACCCTAAACCCCTGAACCCTAAACCCCTAAACCCTAAACCGTTAAAACCCTGAACTCTAAAGACAAGGTCGCATAAGGAAGACGCATCATCTTGCAAGGCTGCCACAGACGCCTTTGGGAGGCTCAGCTTCGTGGGCCAGACCTGTAGGATAGTCTCCATTGTAGCTCCTTTTTGGGGTTACCTTCTAGGATCCTTAATATAAGAATTGGTTAAACCAAAAAAAAGAACTACAATGGAGACCATAGGTAGGATAGTTGAGGGTTTAGGGTTTTTATAGGGGTTGAGGGTTTAGGGTTTAGGGGGTTGAGGGGTTAAGGGGTTGAGGGGTTGAGGGTTTGTAGGGGATTGGGGTTTAGGGTTCAGGGGTTTGGGGCTTAGGGTTTGTAGGGGTTTGGGGGTTGCGGGTTCAGGCTTCAAGATCCTGTATCTGCAAGGGGTCACTGAGGTCCAGGGTTGAGGATCCCATATTTCAGGTTCAGGGTTTATAGGGTTTAGGATCCCCGGATTTCGGGTTCAGGGATTACGGTTCATAAGGGTTTGGGATCTAGCATTTAGACTTCAGGGCGCGGCCAAATTGGGGTGCGGGAGTCTTTTTAGACTTCAAGGGTACGTCTAGGACATTTTCAGGTGGGTAGCTACCGTTATAGGAGCCTTATAGAACGTCTAGATATACTGTTATATACCTTTTTTTAGAAGCCTTATAGAAGCCCTAAATACCCTAAACTCCCCACCT